TGCTTCATGTCGCTTTGAACTGAAGGGTCGGAGAAACGACGACTGATGAGCCGTTTGGCGTCGAAAACAGTGTTTGGAGGATTCATGGTGACTTGGTTCTTGGCAGCATCGCCGATGAGCCGCTCGGTGTCAGTGAAGGCTACGTAAGAAGGAGTGGTGCGGTTGCCTTAATCTTTCGGAATTATCTCCACCCGATCGTTCTGCCACACCCCAACGCAACTGTAGGTCGTGCCGAGATCAATCCCAATAGCCTTGCCTTCAGCTTTGGCAGCCATTGTCGATTAGCTAACAAAACAAGAAATGATTTTTTTTTTTAGATTTACGTAAACTACTACTTCACCGTGATGAATTGTTCTGGTTGAATGTTTGATGACCGAATGGGTCGTATTTATACATAAAACGATGGCAGGGAAATTCCAAGAGAAATGTAGAAAGTAAAAAGAGAGTTGAAGTAGAAGGGTGATAGAACTTGGAGAATTCTGGTTAAATTTGGCGCTGTCCAGAGCATTCAATGGGCTCAACCAAACTGAATCGGCGCAAATCAGATCTTAAATAAAGTAATTTGGGATTAATAAATTATTTTATATTAAATTCTAACGTTTAAATAATAAAAGGCTAAAACTACCTATATTATATATAAAATATCAAATTATTATTTGATATTTGAGGTTAATATTTTATATAAATATTAAAATATGTTTATTAAATTCATAATGTTAAAATCAGTGATTAATATTTATTAAAATTGGTATTTTGATTTTTTTGGAGTATTTTGGTTATTACTATTTTATTTTAGGACAAAAGACCGATGTTTGACCGAATATTCATATTGTCCATTATTCTTTATTTCTAAAGCATTCTTTTCATTATTGTTTTAGTTTAGGTAAAAAAAACCCTCTATTTTAGAGTGTTAACGTTTGTTAACGAACAATTTCCATCTGTATATGGACCTTTTTGCTTAAAAGTAAAATATTGAGGACCAAAATACTCCAAAAAAGAATAGGGGCTAAAATAACTATTTTGATAAATGCTAGAGACTACTTTTGACATTATCTTTAGAGAAAATAACTTCAGTGACAAAAAATGCCTTATAATATACGATTTTAACCAACTTTTTTTGGATTTCCAAAATGACCAACTAAATCGCAATGCGATCGATAATTCGCAACGCGATCTCCGGTATCACAAATCAGTTTCCAGATTCGCAACGCGAACATCGACTATCGCAACGCGAACTTCGACTATCGCAATGCGATTTTCCAAATTCGTTGCAATAGTTGCGATTAATTCCATGTTCGTTGCGATAGTCGAAGTTCGCGTTGCGATTTATTCCAAGTTCGTTGCGATAGTCCAAAATCGCAACGACTGGTGGTATTGCATTTGTTTCTTAAGAATTTTCTCTAAAAAGATAGTATTCGCGCGGACGTGTCGAAGACACGTATTACCACGACCACGACCACGACCACGACACGACCCGAGACGAGACGGACGGCGGCGGCGGCGACGCGCGAGAGTCCCCCTTGTTCTCTATCACTCAACAATGAAGTGGGAAAGCCAAGCCTTAAATACCATTCCCAATAGTGTTTCCAATACTATGTGGGATTGAGCATTACCACCACTTGTTCCCAATACTATGTGGGATTGAGCCTTAAATAGTGATATTATTTGTGAATTATAGTTAATGACTTTTGTATTTGTATGAAAAGTATTTGTGGTTCGTTTAGTTTTCATGCAATTCTAATTTATTTTCAATTGATTGTAATTGCACGATAACAATTTTTTTTATTCTCGCGAGTGATGCAATTTTTTTGAATGTTTTGCTTAAAATTGCAATAATCGCGATTGATTGTAGATTGACTTTTAATTATGACATATTTAATCGTATAATACTAATACAATTGGTTGCTGATTCAGTTGTTTTTAGGTGCATGATTGTTAATTGTTTCCTGAATAATCACATAGTATTGGAAACAAGTGTTGGTAATGCTCAATCCCACATAGTATTGGAAACACTATTGGGAATGGTATTTAAGGCTTGGCTTTCCCACTTCCTTGTTGAGTGATAGAGAACAAGGGGGACTCTCGCGCGCCGCCGCCGTCGCCGTCCGTATCGTCTCGGGTTGTGGTCGTGGTCGTGGTCGTGGTAATACGTGTCTTCGACACGTCCGCGCGAATACTATCTTTTTAGAGAAAATTCTTAAGAAACAAATGCAATACCACCAGTCGTTGTGATTTTGGACTATCGCAACGAACTTGGAATAAATCGCAACGCGAACTTGGACTATCGCAACGAATTTGGAATAAATCGCAACGCGCAACGAATTTGGAATAAATTGCAACGCGAACTTCGACTATCGCAACGAACTTGGAATAAATCGCAACGCGAACTTCGACTATCGCAACGAACTTGGAATAAATCGCAACGCGAACTTGGACTATCGCAACGAATTTGGAATAAATCGCAACGCGAACTTGGACTATCGCAACAAATTTGGAATAAATCGCAACGCGAACTTCGACTATCGCTACGAACTTGGAATAAATCGCAACACGAACTACGACTATCGCAACGAACTTGGAATAAATCGCAACGCGAACTTGGACTATCGCAACGAATTTGGAATAAAACGCAACGCGAACTTCGACTATCGCAACGAACTTGGAATAAATCGCAACGAATTTGGAATAAATCGCAACGCGAACTTCGACTATCGCAACGCGAACTTGGACTATCGCAATGCGAATATGTAAATCGCAATGCGATAGTCGATGTTCGCGTTGCGAATCTGGAAACTGATTTGCGATACCGGAGATCGCGTTGCGAATTATCGATCGCATTGCGATTTAGTTGGTCATTTTGGCAAATCCAAAAAGAGTTGGTTAAAATCGTATATTATAAGACATTTTTGGTCACTGAGGTTATTTTCTCTTATCTTTATTAAATCATACCTAATGTTTAGTTTTGATTTAATTTTGGCCCTATTTTGGTAATTTATCCTTAAAATACAGGGTAAACTACTTCAATGGTCACTAATGTTTGGGTAAGTTTTCGTTTTCACCATTGATGATTCAAAAGTCACAAAACAGTCACCAATGTTATCGTTTGTTACAAATTGGTCACTTGCCGTTAACAGACGTGACGAAAAACACACGTGGACTGTTAACAGCCGTTAACAGGCTTACAGGATGGTATAATTACACAAATAGTCTGTGTTATTTATATATTCTTTCAATTTGATACTAATTTTAATAAATTAAAATAAATTTACCTACGAATTAGGAGGTGCCATGTGTCATTGGTTACACACCTGTCATAAAACATGTTATCATTTGATTAGAAGACTAAATTTATTTTAATTTATTTTTAATTTAATATATTTATTTCTACCAATCAGATATGGTTGAAAGAAAATAAAACAACAAAGAAGCTAGTGGGGGATTCAAACATAGGACCCTTGCGTGAAATAATGCACGCCAAATAATTAAGCGAAAGCAACCATTTGATATATTTTGGACAACAAATGGTATATATCTTGCATCTCAGTATGCAAATGCTTTACTCACAATTAATAATATGTTATATATCTTAAATTTTAAAATTATCTATTTATTTTTGTTTTAACTTATTAAATATTTTTATTTTTGTATTTATTTATTAAATATATTTTGTTTTTATTTTAATACAAAAATATATATTTTATCATTATCATCACTTAAAAATATATTTTTTAAATATCTTAACTTGAAATATATTTAAATATTTTATTATTAATTTAATATAAAAATATATATTTTACTCTAATTCTTATTTTAAAATAAAACATCTTTTATTATCATCTTAAATTTTAAAAATATATTAAAATATTATATATTTTAAATAAAAATAAGAGTAAAATATATATTTTTATATTAAATTAATAGTAAAATATTTAAATATATTTCAAATTAAGATATTTAAAAAATATATTTTTAAGCGATGATAAAGATAAAATATATATTTTTACATTAAGATAAATAAAATATATTTAATAAATTAATAAAAAATAAAAATATTCAATAAGTTAAATAAATAAAGAGATAATTTTAAAATTTAAGATATAACATATTATTAATTTTGAGTAAAACATTTACATACTAAGATACAATATATACCATTTGTTGTCCAAAATATGTCAAATGGTTGCTTTGGCTCAATGGTTTGGCTTGCAATACTTCACTCAAGGGTCCTATGTCTGAATCCCCACTGGCTTCTTTGTTGCTTTATTATCTTCCTACCAGAGGGTGACACGTGTCACCCTCTGATTGCTAGAAATAAATATATTAAATTAAAAATAAATTAAAATAATTTAAAATAAATTAAAATAAATTTAGTCTTCCAATCAAATGATAACATGTGCCATGACAGGTAACCAATAACACATGGCACCTCCTGATTCGTAGGTAAATTTATTAAAACTAGGATCAAATTTAAAGAATATATAAATAACATGGACTATATATGTAATTATACCATCCATGTAAGCCTGTTAACGTTTGTTAACAGTCTACGTGTGTTTTCTGTCACGCCTGTTAACGGAGAGTGACCAATTTGTAAAAAATGATAACGTTAGTGATCGATTTGTGACTTTTGAAACATCAGTGGTGAAAACGAAAACTTACCCAAACATTAGTGACTATTGGAGCAGTTTACCCTAAAATGTATTAGTGTTGCTGACATGTTACCCTAAGATAATACCACATCATCATTGAAAAAATTAAAAAATATCAAGTTTTGTTAAATTTTTAACTCGATATATAGCCAAAATGAAGCTAAAACATAAAGTAAGATATGATTTTGAAAAAAAAAGTTGGATGATCAAATAGAAATAAAAGTGATAGTTGAAGTAGTAAACATGCAGTTTACCAATTTCAGTATGTACTGCAACGACGTCGTAAGCGGGAACGCAATGCCACATATGTAAAAACCCGTTGACGTCGTTACCCAGAACTCCGAAGTTTGGAATCTTTGTCTCTGTTGGAAAATGGATGACAGTGTGCTTCTAAGAGAGTGGTTCGACCGAGTTGACTCAGGGAAAGCTGGAAGCATCACCGCTCCTCAACTCAAGGTTCCTTTTTCAATCCTCCTTTAAACTTTTTTTAAATAATAATTAAACTGCTTAATTCCCTTTGAATGTAAAATAACGATCAGAGCGCTTTCGCCATCGGTAATCTCAACTTCCCTCTTTCTGTCGTTCAACAAATGATCAGGTTCTCTCTCTTTTTTTTAGTTTCTCAATTTTTAGCTCTTTCTTATACCCTTTTTGTTGATTAATATTTTCCTATTTAATTTTGCAGGATGTATGATTTTGATAGAAATGGCACCATGAACTTTGAAGGTGAACTTTTCATCATTTAATAAATTTATATTTATTTCCAATTTCTGTTCTATTTGCTGACTTCTCTTTTGGTTAAGCATAGAATTTCTTGCTCTCAACAAGTTCCTCATCAAGGTTAGTACTTTCAGCATTTTAATTTTATCCTTTTCAATTATGATTCATACGGTTGATATTTTTCTTTCAATGTGATTGGCAGAACGGAATTCATAATAGGAAATATTATTCAATTACTCTGATTATCTGATTTAATGGTTTTTTCTACAGGTCCAGCAAGCCTTCTCCGACTTAGGGAGGTAATTTTTACACTCACACTCGAGTGAAAGTAACATATATTCTAGGATAAAATCATGTTAGGTAGATACTGCTTTTAGTGATTCAAGGGTTTAACCATTTGATGCTTGAGGCGACAACTTGTGGGGCAAACAAATGAAAATGACAATTTCTAAGTAAACAGAGCCTTATTCAGTTCCACTAATTCCAAACATTTATTTTAATGTAGCAGCAAGTTAAGACATGTGTGCACCTCCCATATACTATTTGCTTCAATCAGAACTAAAAACATACTTTATTGTTCACTTTACAGGAATCGTGGATTCCTTGTAATTGATGATGTTTACGAGGTATGTTCAAGCAAAGTGTGTTTTAAAACTTAATGCAACGCATCAAATCTGGCATCTTTAGACTTTGAATAGATGTTTCTTTTTCGTTTGTTTGGGACAAACTGATTTTTTCTGAGTTCAATTTGCTTCAGATTTTTTTTTATCTCCCTTTCACTTTTGCTTCTGTTGCCATTCCAGTTGTTCTGGTTATGATAACGAAACATTGTTACAGGCAATAAACAAAATCGGGTTCTCTTTGGATTCTCCCGCGTTCTACACAGCATGTGAGGTAAAGCTTATGTAATTAGACATGAAGTTACAAGTGGGAGGGTTATATTATGCAGCAGAACATGGTAATAAAGTTTCATCAGTTGACTCTGTGGCTTGCTTCTACTAGAATTTTAAGAATCTCACGTATAATATATTTCGTATATGTATATTTGTATATTGTATTCTTCATTTCTTGTATGTTCAAATGAGACTATTCGTTATATCGTCAGGAGCGAAGTTAAATTTTATGTTGGAGGGGCCGGGAATAAAGATCAAATTATGAGTTTTGGGGGCCAGCATTGATTTTTATTCATTTTTAGTAACAGAATAATAAAACATTAACTGTGTTTGGAAGAGCCAAGGGGCTCCAAGGCCCCTGCTTGCCCCCCTTTCGCTTCGCTCATTTATGGTGGATTCTTATTCTGTTTCTCATCCTCTTCCCGATTCCAGTCATACTCTTCCCACCACATGCATTGTTCTGTTCGGAAGCATTGTCAATTGAGCATTCTGCGATTTCCTAATTTTCTAGTTAAATGTGTATTAGGATTCCCCTTCCAAACCTAGTTCTAGATATCTAATTTTCATTAGTTGTTGTTTTAGTATGGATTTGGTGCCCATGGTTTTCTTATCAAAATTAATATTTCCCCATCTTGGTTTGCTTGGCATTAACTGAATTTAGTTATGCTTTTTACTGTATCTATGGATATCATGTCCATCCATTTTTATTTCCTTACTTTCTTGGCAGAGCTTTGATCAGAAGAAGAATGGGAGATTGCAGCTGGATGACTTCATATCGCTTTGTATATTTTTGCAGTCTGCTCGGTAAAGTATCTCTAACATCTGCTGAATTCGTGTTGACTTTTCAATGTCACGTGTGTGTCTTGCAGATCGAATTATATTAGTGTGTGAATTGTGCAAAAATGATACCCTCTTATGGTTTGCTGAGAACATCTGGGATTTCTTGTCAAATTTTTTATTGTAAAATGTATGCAATGCAGACATGATAAACACATGCTCACATACCATGCATATTGCAACGTACATGCTTGAATTCACTTCCTTTTAAGGTGCTTGACATGGAGTCTTCATATAATCATATTTGTATGTCAATTTCTCAGACTCGATATGTAAATCACTTTTTTTTTGCCTTCTCTCTGCGGATTGTTGTCGGTGCAGAAATATGTTTAATGCATTCGACACTGGGAAACAAGGCAGGGTTACTCTTGATCTGAACCAGTTTGTTTACTGCGGTAAGTACTCTCAATTTGAATGACATTTACCCTTCCTTTCAGATTACATGCTGTCTTTGCTCTTTAATAAATGAATAAACAGCCTAATATAACTCTGAACATAGGTATAGAGATTTGACTTTCCAATGATTTTCCAAGCATAAGAAAACACTTAAAACTTGAACATACCTGTGTCATACACATATCCATATTCAATACTCAAATCTGAGTCCAAGTATCAGAGAACAATAAGGTTAACTTGCTTGACCTTGAACTATAATTGTTTTTCTTTGGCATTTTCATACCATCCATTTAACGCTGTTTCTTTTATGGTAATTTTGATTTCAGCTGCCAGCTGTAGAATATGACATGGAGAACACCAGGTAAATTGGACTCGAGAAATAACTCTCTGAATTCAGATATGAAATGGATTTGATAATTTGATATCATGTTCTGTTTTGAAAAACGTATGCCGTTGATAGTGTGCGGATAAAACTAGTTGACAACGGTGGTTCATTTCAACTTTTTTCTTGTATATATCTTGTATGTGCGATGCGATGATGTTCTGAAAATTCAAATTAAATAAAAGGGCAGTGATGTCCAATGGAGAAGGACCGGATATGATGTTAGGGGTAAATTTTTTAACTTAAACCCAATGGTGCAAATGCTTCATCTGGCAATTCAAAACTATCAAAGCACCTTGCTTACATCTGCTACATTCAACACTCCCTTTTATTAACTTGTTGCAGGAAATGACCTCTCTCCCTCTCTAACACCATCCTTGCTCTCGTCCTACTGGATAAACTGTCTGGAACCTCCTCATTATAATCTGTGGCACATATCAAGAACAGAAAATGATCCATAAATATTTTTAATGTTTCAGGGTTGACACATATCAATAGAGCTGCAAAAAAATCCGAATATCCGATTTTGCACAAAAAATATCCGAAATCGGATTTGGGAATTGGATATTTTAAAACCGGATAATATAACCAGTTTGGGAAAAAATTGGACTACCGGTTTTTTTACCGGATTACAAACTGGTTTGAAAAAAATCGATTAAAAAACCGGTTTTTTATCCGAAAAAAATCGGTATGGGTTTAAAAAATTAGCCGTTAATATAGTCGTTGGGGGGGTTTGTGACCTTTTTTTTATAAAAAAAATTACCATTTTACCACCCTAAACATGTATAATTAGGTTGGAGATGTATTTGGTTAATTACAAATTTCTCAAATCTTATTACACAACACCTAAACATCTCTCAAATCTTATTTTTGTAATTTTTTGTTCATCATGGCTACAAGTAACACGGCTAAATCTTTCGTCGGGGGAAACCTTGAAGTCGTGAGAGTGATCGAACACACTCGAAACAAAGATATTTGGGATAACTACGATTTATGTGAGATGTCAAATGGCTCGAGGAGGGCACGTTGTAAACTTTGTCTAAAGTTGCTTGCATCGGAAGGAAACACAACGTTGAAGAACCATTTGACAAAATCATGCAAGGCACTTCGCTCAAGATCGGATCCAAGTCAATCGAATCTTACACCGCAAGGTGGTGTTTTTGTTTACGACAACGAAAAATTACGAGAAACGTTTACAAAAGCATTGTCGTTCGACCACTTTGATGATGAAGATTTCACGACAACAATTCAACAACTAATGCAACCACGTTATACTCAAGTAAGTCGTACTACCCTTAGAAGAGATGCTATAAAAATGTGGCGTACGCTGAGGGAAAAAATGATTTTAAGATTCCAAGAACACTGTTATGGTGTGTCGCTTACATGTGACGTTTGGAGTTACCCTCATAATACCGAAAATTATTTTTTAGCCGTTACGACACATTGGTTAGATCAAGATAATTGGCAAATGATGAAAATAACAATCGCGTTTGAATTATTCGGTGAGCCGCATACCGATGCTAATTTATTTACACTTTTAAAAAGGGTAATTTGTCTTTATAAATTAGAAAATAAAGTTTTTTCTATATCCTTTGATAATGCATCGAATAATACAAACGCAGTTCCAAGATTGAAAATATTACTTTCACCGATTTTAGACGGTGCATTTTTCATACTCGTTGCGTTGAACACATAATTAATTTATCTGTGCAAGCCGGTTTGGAGGTTATTAAACCGATTAGATTAGAATTTAAAGCAATGATAAAATCGGTTCTTTGTAACAACAACAAAAGACTAAATGATTATAAACAATTTTGTAAGTCGGTTAATAAAAAAGCTTTGGATCCTAATTTGGATTGTCCAACTCGTTGAAAATCAACTTGGATGATGATGCATATCGCCTTAAGGCAAAGGGAAACATTGCAAACATTTGATTGACGATCGGCTTTTCGAAAGGGGCCATGTCCCAAACATTTATCCAGATTCGAGTTGGGAAACTATAGCCAAAATAACCGATTTGCTTGGGATTTTTAAAAATGCAACAACTTTTTTATCCGATGTTTATTACCCTATTAGCTCGTTGGTTCTTAATCAAATATTTTTGTTGGCTACCCGACTAAATGACTTTGAATTTGAAACCGAAGTTTTTCAAGAAATTGACTTTGCAATGAAGGAAAAACTTTTAAAATATTTTAAGGAGATTCCCTCTATTTTTACTTGTGCTGCCGCTTTAAACCCAACGTTAAATGTTAACGGGGTTGAAACACTAATTGAACAAATTGCGTTTGCTTTTAATCTAACAGATGATGAACCCAACTTTGTCCAAAACCAAATAAATTATTTTAACAAATGTTTTCGAGACATGTTTGCAATTTATTTAACTAAATACGGATCAAGTAGTGTAATACATGATCAAATGAGAACGAATGCGGAATCATCTAGTAGACATCCAAGTAACATAAATTTGTCACTTTTTAACACTCTTGTAAATTCCCAATGCAAACGATCACGTACTACCACCCCAAGTAGCGAGTTGGAAAATTACATGTCATGCGATTTTCTATCAAAAATGACATTTGAAGGTTTGAAAGTTTGGATATTTTGGCTTGGTGGAAAGAAAATGAAGCACAATTTTCGATTCTAGCCGCCATGGCCCGTGATTTACTAACCGTCCAAGCTTCTACGGTAGCTTCGGAATCCGTTTTTTCTATTAGTGGCAAGGTTATATCGCAACGAAGATCAAGACTAAGTCCCGAGTTGGTGGAAGTAAACATTTGTTTGAAGGATTATTTGGATGAAGCGGCTTGGAAGCAACATATCACCACCCTAGAAGATGCAATTGATGCCGATTTGGAAGCAAACTTACACATTGAAGAAGTCGAACTTTGAATATCCCCTCCAAACAAAGAAGGCGAAGATGATGAAGAAGAGATGGCGATGTAGTTTATTTTTAAACTTTATTTCAATTATCGTAAACTTTGTTTCAATTATCGAACTTGGAAGTTTTTAAGTATTTGAATTTATCGAACTTGGAAGTTTTTAAGTATTTGAATTATCGTAAACTTTATTGCAATTGATGATGATGTAATTTTAATAATATTAAAATCGTTTTTTTTATATCTGGTTTTTTTTTAAAAAAACTTTTTTTTTTCAAACCGAAACCAGTTACACCATCCGACCCTCCAAACTGGTTAGGATCCGAACCAGTTTTTTTACAAACCGGTTTTTGGCTAGGTGAAAAAACCGGATCATTTTTTATCCGATCCGGATCGGATTTAAATCTGACTTTGTGCATGTCTACATATCAACAACAAAATTTTTTTCGTATACGAGGACAAATAAAATTTCTAGGTGGTCACATCACTAAAATGAAGAATCAACATGAAAAAAATTCAAATTTTAGAGTGAGTAACATCAGTAAAATAAATAACTAACATAAAGAAATTCAAATTTCAGGATAGGCATGTTGTGCCTACTATGAGGAACATATACATCCACCATAATTTGACCCTTGAAGTTACCAGAGTTTAGAACTTTTACCCTAGATTTTACATCTTTATTGATTTGATCCTTAAATTCATAGAGGACGAAATTTAGCCTCAAGCTTCCAAATTTTTCAACAACAAAAAACACCTAAATTTTCCTAATTTCCATTTTAACCCCCAAATTCTTGAATCTTTAAAAATTTACCCTAAAACTATAAATTCTAACAATTTAACCTCGAACTTTACTCAAACTTCAGTTATGACCCTAGGTTTCAAAAAAATACCAAATTGCCCCTGTCGTAACCTCTCTCTTTTAAAAAAAAACGTTTTTTACATTTTAAAACCAAAAATTCAGTTACGATTGTTTCTTTGAAAATATTCACTTTTAGATTAATTCGATCAATTCAGTTAAGTTGCTTTGGAGTCGCCACCGACCTTTAGATTAGGTAGATCAAATACCTAAAAACTCCTTTTAAGACAATTTAAAAAATCATTTAAAAGACAAAAGTTGGTATGCGTTTATCAGAAATTCATTTTTGGGGATTCGGAAGTCGATTACGCATGGGGAAGGATTAGTACCTCACAACGTCCAAAATTGATACCTAATCACTTATACGTTGTTGTAGGAGTAAAATTATGAATTCAAGTATGAAATTAAAGCATGATCCATTTACTGAAGTTTAATTAATTATCTGGGGAAATTCTTTTAATTTGAAGAGAAATCTTAGTATTCACACATCCTTCAACGGGAAGGCTACCCCGCTTATTTCTTATCTATAAAAGAATATTCCCTCCTTAATCTAAGATCATCAATCAAATAAAAATTGAATACTAGTAATCACGTAAAATAATTTACTGTTTTAAAAATATATATGATGCCAATATTTAAATTAGAATTAAAGAAAAAAATTAATTAACCTTACTTTTATAAAATATACTCGATTTATTTTGAGTTCACATTTCGTTCGAATGTCACTTTGAATCACACCACTTCTGTAAAGTAATGCTTTTCATGCCCATTATACGGTCAATGTTCTCGAAAATGTTCGAGTAACTACTAAAATATTAATATCAAATATAAGAGATACACAAAAGGTTGATAAAAGAATAATCCATAAATCAAAATAAAATAAATAAGATAGAATAAAAATATAAAGAAGAATAGTATATAAACATACATGGTTAAGAAGTATATATATATATATATATATATATATATATATATATGACATAGTCTAATGTATACAGTCAAAATAAAATATTTAGTATTATTCACATTATAAAAATAAAAAGGTACAAAACAAAATTAAGCAATTAATTAAATTATTTTAAAAAAGAATAATAAGAATAAAATAAATAAAAGAAAGACTAAATCACAAAAAAGACAAAATAATAAAACCTTATTATGTGGCAAATCATGTAACTTCATAATAAAAAAAAACAATGACTAAAATGAATACTAAAACATAAATGTTAGGTATAGCTCATAAATATACCAGTAAAGAGGACAGGAGATGGAGTGGAGTGAGCGAACATCATCTGTCCTTACAAAGAAAGTCTCGTTGTGGGGTTACGAATTATGTGGGTTGGGGGTGCGGGGGCGTAGCCCCGCGGTACGGTACAGGGTTGATTTTATAATTATGTACCAGGGTTTTCTATTATAAATAGAGATGTAACCTAGACCTAAAATATCATTGAATAAAACTTCTAGCGCCGCCTAGGCACC